AAAAGACACGAGCTCATTTATTTTAGATTATTTTAACCACAAATTCTGTCTCTCACCTGCAGATCTATTCTACTGTAAAGATGTATTAAAATAAATAAATCAGTAACATTGCAAGCACTAGTTATTCAGAATTGTTAAACCTGGCAGTTATTTTCTTTGATATCTGATTAATTATCGAGTGTGCTATTTTTCAATTCAATTTAATTTTATTTACACGGCGCCAAATCGCAACAACAGTGGCCTGAAGGTGCTTTATATTGTAAGGTCGACCCTACAATAACACATACAGAGAAAACCCAACAATCATATGACCCCCTATGAGCAGCACTTTGGTGACAGTGGGAAGGAAAAACTCCCTTTTAACAGGAAGAAACCTGGAGGGGCGGAGCCATCTGAGAAGGAAGACAGGATAAAGACATGTGGAAGAGAGATAGAGATTAATAACAAGTACGATTCAGCAGAGAGGTCTGTTAACACATAATGAGTGAACAAGAAACACCCAGTGCATCATGGGAATCCCCCGGCAGCTACATCTATTGCAGCATAACTAAGGGAGGATTCGGGGTCACCTGGTCCAGCCCTAACTATATGCTTTAGCAAAAAGGAAAGTTTGAATGTTAAAAGTACAGATAGTGTCTGTCTCCTGAATCCAAACTGGACGCTGGTTTGCCAGGAAATTGTCAATTGTATGCTAACCATCGTCCCCTAAAGTCTGGAACATATTCAAAATGCTTTGGATGCATTAGAGCACTTTTCAAAAATGTTTACATAATAATTATTGATAAATCCATTTTAAATACTAGGACACCGGCAAGCATCAACTTTGATATTTGTGTTAACTAAACAAAATTATCACACTGACAAGCACAGTTGGGGCTCAATACTGGCACAAAATATTGATTTTCCAGTTTTAGCTATTGTAAGTTTTTAAAATGGAAATAAACAAATCAACAAAAACAAAAAACCACAATGGATGAAAAACAATTTGTTAACACTTTGCATATGACTGGGTAGCATTAGCAATTTATAGCCAACAGGAAATCAGGAAATCACTATCTCTTGTATTTTGATTACAGTGAAGGTTTAAGACTGGCTGGGCCACTGACCTTTAAACGACCACCTGCTGAACTAAATCCTTGCTATGAGTCTCTGTCTCTGCCCACCTGTGAAATTTGCTCATCGGTTTAAAGGTGGCGATATGCTTGTGAAATTTTGCACACATGCAATCCTAAAGTGGACAATGTCAGTCTATAAACGGGCATTCAACACTTCCCAAGGTGCTTAAAATGACCTTTGTGGTAGTTCCAACTAGGCTTTTTACAACTGCGTTGCATCTTTAAAGGAAGGATTATTGATTAGCTGATCTCCTTTTCAAACACATTATATTTCTCTAACCATGGAACCCATTCTGGGTTATCTGGTGGATAAAATGCTGGCACACCGGGACAAGAACATCTGGCTAAGAAATCTAGGGGCAGAGTTAGGCTGCTGTGCAATGAATACTTACGTTTTTCTTTTTGTGTCTTGTAGTCTATGGTGATATTCTTGATTTCAGTCCTCTTGTTTCTTTTCAGTGTGCATGTGAAGTTTGTCACATTACCAGTCTCTTTCAACTCGCCAGGATTGTGTTCTGTTAATGGGACAGTGTAATTCTTGCACATCGTGTTTTTCATTGTAGCCAGTATATTTCCATTCGATGTCTTGAATTCACAGCTGAAGCGTTTATAGGGAAGCTGTGAACAGTCTTGATAGTAGCACTGCAGTCTTTGAAAAGATCAAATGGTATGGTTAATATAAGGCACACTCCAATTCATGTTAGGGTTCAGTACAGCATATGCATTCGATGTGATAGTGGCATTAACACTGAAGGCTCGAACCTGAGACTGTTATTTTCCTTTGTGTCGATGCAAGCAGTAAACACACCGAAATCCCCCACCTTTTTGGCAGAGATAGAGCCTGTAATCAGATGTTTGGATACATCATGTCATACACAGTCAAGACGTCCTTCAGATGTATATACAAAACTCCAGTTCTAATAGTTCCCCCAAACTAAACGTTAGAACTTTAGTGCTGATGAACTATCAGCTCACACACTTTAGTGCAGGGGTGGGCAACTCCAGGCCTCAGGGCCGGTGTCCTGCAGGTTTTAGATGTGTCCTTGATCCAACACAGCTGATTTAAACGGCTAAATGACCTCATCAACATGTCCTGCAGTTCTCCAGAGGCTGGTAATGAACTCATCATGTGATTCAGGTGTGTTGACCCAGATTGAGATCTAAAACCTGCAGGACACCGGCCCTCGAGGCCTGGAGGTGCCCAGTCCTGCCTCAGTGTTCAAAAAAATCTCACTTTGATTTTTGAAAAAAAGCAGGACCTTCAGCTGTTCAGGGACTTTATTTTCAATAGTTTCCATTCTTATAGAGTTCAAGCTGCTCTTGTTCGTAGACTGAAAGCTACCAGCAAACCTGACAATCTCTTAAGTGAGAAAATGAATAAATGCATCCATAATCACTACAGCTCTCACATTAACACAGACGGAAATTGGACGTGACAGTTTTGCTTTACAGACAGAAGTCTGAAGGGTCTCAGTTATCAAGGTCATGGTAGTCTAAGAAGCTTGGAAAGAAAAGCGACTGGACTTCTTTAAGTTTCCTGAAGATGTGTCGCCTCTCATTCGAAGAGGTTCTGCAGTTCTAACACTGGATGGTGGAGAGTCCCAGGTAGTTAAGCCCTAGTGGGAGTTGTGTCTCATCACATGAG